TACCATGATGAAAAGGTATGGAGAGATAGAGTCTCCCCGTCTGAGCCTGTTTTCCCAGGGAAAATCCTGCTAGTTCACCATTTACAGCAATTGAAAAACGGGGAGAAGTGATACATTCCTTGATCCAAGTGATAAATATCAAAGGGAAATTCTGAGCCCCTAGCAGCTTAATTACAAAGTCCCAGGAGACTGTATCAAATGCCTTTCGAATATCTACTTTAAGCATACTACTTTTGGGCAGGCAGCGGAGTTGTATGATCGAATGAGCACAGTTGCAAGTAGCATGTTTTCCCCCAGCGACCTGCCTTTCAAGAACGCTGCCTGGTTCTTGCTAACACACTTCTGAAGAATGGGCTTCAATCTATTAGCAAGAATTTTTGAGATCACCGTGTAGACGGATGTTGCAGCAGCTTATAGGCCTATAGTCTCCGAGCTTACAAGCCTGAGAGGTTTTTGGTATAAGAGTAATTGTTGTCGCGTTGAGATCTCTTAATAACCACCATTTCTGAAGAATTCCCGGATGGCAGCAGTTATATCAGCTTCAACTGTGTCCCATGTGGACCTTATGAACTCAATAGAATAACCATCTGGCCCTGGACTCTTATTTAAAGGCATTGAAAAGATTGTTGCCTTTATTTCGGCCTCTGAAATCTCTCAACGAAGGTTGATCTGATTCTAACCGATAATCTGGTCACATTTCTAGCCCTCCTTTACCCCGTCAAGAAAAGAAGGATGATCAGAGATGTGATGGAATTATTTGAAAGGTTTCTTGGACCTTTTTTGAAGGGCAGGAATAGAAATAGGCATGGAGCATGATCAGATTGACCCGGATCAAGAAACTCCGCATAAGCATCAGGGAAATTTGACGCCCAACTCTGATTAATTAAAGCGTGATTAATCCTCTTGGAGATGGGGTTATCATCCTGACTTTTCCACCACGTGAAAGGAGAGCCTTTGGCTTGTGCCTCAAAAAGGTCAGCGTCTTGAAGGGCCAAGTTAAAGTCTTCCGTACCTGACGTATCTACGGCATTTTTCCCGCGGTTTGAGTGATGATCAAGCCTAAGAATATGATTGAATTCACCAACCATTGCCCATGGATATCTAGCGACAGGTGTTGTGTTGTTTAAAAAAGATAGGTCATCCCACAACTCTTGCCGATCCTCCAAACTGTTGTATCCATACACAAAAGTTACTGTGAAACTAACGTTGATCGCCATAATAAAAACCCCACACGTCACAGTCTGTGCTGAGGAATGATAAACTGTAACAGAAATAGATGGTTCCCAAACCACCGTGACTCGTGTTGATTATAATTAACAAAAATTTTCCAACCCGCAGGTACCGCTCGTAAAACTCTATCTACATTAGATTCCAAAATGTGGGTTTCAACAAAAGCTCCAAGTAGAGGTCTATGGATATTAATCCAGTCTCTCGTCATTGTGTGGCGTCTGTCGTTATTAAGCCCTCTTACATTCCACGCCAAAAACATATATACAAAAGGTATTAGTGTTTTGTGGTCTTACGACCACCCTTTTTCCTGTTGGCAAGGAAAAAGGAATCTTCACGGGCTCTCAACCCAAACAATGCTCCTGTTTCACCCACTATTAATTCCTCCGAGGGTGTCTAAGGTTGTGACCTCTTAGCTGACTCCAAATAATTATTGTCCGGAGGTGCTTGATTAGTAGACCCCACAATCTCCTCAGGCTGAGTAATCAATCATGATTCAACAGTTACAGCTCTGTTTAAATTTTCTGCTTAAGCCAGAGTGGCCATGGGATTTGCATCAACATTAACTATAGCTTGATTTGTATTATCATTCTCTTGAGGGACAGTGAAGATAGAATTTCCTGAAATGTCAGGAGGAGTCTGCAGAGAAGTGTATTTCCTCCTTGTTTCATTTCCTCTCCCTGGTCTAGACTTTGCCCTTGTACGCGAACGTGTCGGGCTAACACTAGCAGCAGGTCTCACATCTCGAGTTTTAACATGGAGGTTTGCACGACATCTGTCAGATGGGTGCCCATACTTACTACAAGAGTCACATTTTAATGGCAGCCATGGGTATGCCACTGCTATCTCGAACTCACGCCCATTAGAGAAGCCATAAATGATCTTCGTAGGGAGTTTCCTTGTAAGATCCACCTTAACGTATAGTTTCACCACTTGGAACTTTTCTTTTCTCTCTGTCTCAGGGGCCACTGAGACCGGATTTCCCACAACTGTGGCTAACCTACTCAAAGTTTCCTTATTAAAGAGGAGATAAGGAACATCTCTCATCTCGACATGAACAACTACATAAGTGATAGGTGCCTCTTCTGGCATGAAATCCGGTGACCAAGGAGCCACAAACATTGGAAATCCAGCTATGTTCCAGCAAGTTCTTGACAAAATAGCCTCTATACTTCTTGTATTAGAGACTCTGACCAAGTAAGCACCATTACCAAGATTGTGAATAAAGATCCTTGGCCCTGTCCTGCCCAAATGACATTAACAACTCCAATGATTCTCCCCATCGGAGGAGTATCTCCTTGGAACTGAGCGTAGATAAAATCTTTGAACTCTTCTTTCGCAGCAGCTATGTTCTCATCCGGGAATTAGGATGAAAACAACCCTTGAAACATGCTCAGACGGCGATCCCACTTCCTTTAGTTGAGAAGGAGAATAAAGAAATCATAAAAATCTTTGTCATGTCTGGAACAATATGAACCGATATCAAATCGACGTCGTGAATACTTATGCATGCAGTGTAGCAGTTGATGAGAATGAGGATCATGAACCATCTATTGAAAAGTGTACACAAAGAAATGATTGGCCAAGATGAAAATAAGCAATATATGTGGGATTAAATCTCTTGAAAAGAGAGTATTTGGACAAGTAGTCCATACATGTGAAGGTGTGAATCAGTGGTACGTATATGGGTCTTTATATGAAAGAATGAATGAGATGATGAAAAAATTGTGAGATTCAAAAGAGTAGTTGCACAAGAATTCTCACAAAGACCTGGAATTGTTATAAGAAACACATCATGTGGTGGAAGCATCAACTTTCATGTTCTTTTAGTCTGGTAACAAAGAAGAAGAACTGAGAACCACTGGAACAATGAAATTTATGTGAAGATCTATAAGGATATAAACTACAAGAAGCAGTAAACCCAATAAAGATTTGGACTGCTAGAAATGCTAGTTCTGGAGAACATTACCGCGTGAGTATATTGAACATATAAAAGAAGTAATTCTTGATCATGAAGTACCATGAGATGAAAATTTAAGATCTCTTTCATGATTGAAAAAGTGATTTCGTATGACCAAAAGAATAGTCATACTTGTAATTTTTACAAGAAGCAAAGTAATAACGCGTATGTATAAGTATGCATAATGTGAAGGTTTAGAAGATTGTCTGTAAAAGAAATTTGGACATGGAATCCAAATAGACCAAGATATGATATTTTGTGTGAAATTAATGTTACGGACAAGAAGTCCAATGGTCTAAGAGATTATATGACAATCAAACGAGTTTATTTAGTAGGAATATGCTTATAGCAATTATTAAAAAGATAATATGTATGATGAGAATACTTCTCCCAAAGATGATGCTTCCAGGGGGAGAATATGATGATGTGTGTGGTTGTACTATTTTTCTTTATCATGGTTTTTATCCCATTGGATTTTGCTATGTCAAGGTTTAATGAGGCAACAAAGAACACGAAAATGATAGATACCTAAAAAGGAATGTTATCATTTAACTGATAAATATCTAACAATCTTACAATGTATTTTTAAGACTGAGAATAACGGAAGAGAATGATCAAGATCAATCATACTTTAAGAAGAATCAATGTATGAACACATTCCATTCAAAACAGAATCAAAGGTCGAAAGTCTTCCAATCAAGGGAGACCTCCTATATGGAATTAAAATATTAATTTTATGTCCAAAGAAAGATCTCTAAGTCTACTTTCATCTCCAATTTAAATCAAGTCATTTTCGATGATAGAACTCGAGATATGTATATTTTCGTGGGACATGTACAAGCTGTCTATTAATACCAATTTCGGCTGATATCCCAAATATCGCTCAATATTCCAATCTTACTAGAGCTAAGTCGGTGCCTAAAGTTACTAAAGGATGTGAGCTTTGATTTCCAAGTGGTTTGAAGTCATTTTGTCGTACGGTCATCAAGATATTCAAGTTTCACTGAGGAGTGTTAAATCTGCCAAGAAAAGTGAACCGGGGGAGTAGATGCGCGCTGCACTCTTTTTCTCTTAACCGCTGCATAGTTCAACTTAAGGACGGATGGATCAAAGGAGATAGGACGAAGCATATTCTGCCAAAGTTCTTCTTTATACATGATTTACAGAAAGCCGGCGAGGTCCAAGTACTCCAAGTTTATTCACATGATAATTCAGTAGACCTATTCACCAAGTCACTTCCAACCTCAACGTTTAAGAAGCTTACACATCAGATAGGAATGCGTTGGCTCAAAGACCTTCAATGAGGTACAAAACTTGGAAAATAATACGTGTTGTACTATTTTTCTATTCTATGGTTTTATCCCTTTTTTCTTTTTGGGTTTTCGTGGAAAGATTTTAATGAGGCAATTCCAAAGCGTATTACAAATTCTTAATAGTTATAGCATCAAGTAGGAGTGTTATAAACCTTATTTGTGGATTGCCACAAACCGGTCCGTCTAACCAATCCGTCAGTTTAGACCTAGGCGGCTGGTCTTTCACTTTTCTCTTGCGTGCGATTAGTTTCTTTTTTTTCTTATGAGATTAGATTTTAAACTATATTTTTTTTTATAGGTTTAGGATTATTTACCTTATTTTATAGAATAAAGAACAGCAGATTTATCTTTCTCTCTCGGTTCATAACAGAAATAATATTATTGGTCATGCGATGCTATTAAAGTGTACACGTGTTAACGAATCTAACACGTGGCCCAAGTGAAAAACCCTCTAGCTGCGAACGCCGAAAACCTAGTCGTCCCGTCACCGTAACTAAATTCGAATTCCCAATTAGCAAAAAAAAAAAAAAAAAAAAATTAAAGGAAGAAGACGAAGAAGCGTTCCGTTGATGATCAATGGCGTTCTTCTACAGATCTCTAAGAAAGCTAGCTGAAACCAATCCCCTTAAGAAGACCAGACCATTCTTCACCGTCGCCTCCGCCGGCGGAACAGTTTCTCCCATCGCACCGTCGTTTCCGCCTCTGTTCCCGCACAGATTGTCTCCGCTTTCGAAATGGTTCGTGCCTCTCCACGGACCTCTCTTCCTGTCTTCTCCTCCCTGGAAGCTGCTCCAGTCCGCGACGCCGCTTCACTGGCGAGGAAACGGCGCCGTTTTGAGGAAGGTGGAGGCGCTGAGTGTTAGGTTGGATCGGATTAGGAGGAGAACGAGGTTAGGGTTACAGTCTGTGGTGGTGGATCGAGATTTGGACAAGGAGGAGGGAGATGGAAGTAGAGGAGGAGGGATAATGGAGAGTTTTGTGAATGTGCCGAATATGATATCTATGGCGAGATTAGCATCTGGTCCTGTGCTTTGGTGGTATGAAGCAAGTCTCTCTTTTTTTTTTTGCTAGAGAGAGGATTAAGAATCTGAACTTTGATTGATTGTTTTTTGTATTGTAGGATGATATTGAATGAGATGTATACACCTGCTTTTGTTGGGTTGGCTGTCTCTGGAGCTAGTGATTGGGTATATTCATCTTCTTTGTGTGGTATTGGATTTAAGAAGATGTTTTGAATATTAATTGTCTAAAAGACTATTGATTTTTGTAGTTAGATGGTTACATGGCTAGGAGGATGAAGATTGATTCTGTGGTTGGCTCATACCTTGATCCTCTTGCAGACAAGGTAATATCTAATGATTTTCGTGCTGACCGTGTTTAAGGTTTTGACCTCAGATTCCCTGATTATCTTACTTTCATTTTCAGGTTCTTATTGGGTCTGTTGCGTTGGCAATGGTGCAGAGGGACCTTCTACATCGTGAGTATTCTTTTTTCATCTGATTGAATCATGGGATTGCTGTTTTGGTTATTTAAACTAGAAAGTTTCGGTCCTTTGATCTCAACACAGTTTTAAGAACAAACCTCCGTAGAAGCTTATGGGTTAGTTTTGGTACCAAGAGGAAACCTTCCACTAAGTTGATTAACTTAGTTGAATTGGATTCAACATTCTTTAGTTTCACATTCTAAAATCAATTCTTGGTGAATGATGCATGTGACATTTGTGATTTGAAGCTGCGCTGGTTGGAATAGTGGTGTTCCGGGATGTTGCACTTGTCGGCGGTGCAGTATATCTAAGGGCACTAAACTTAGACTGGAAGGTGAAACTTTACAACCTTAGAACTAGAACTCTTAACCAGTTTCTCTGCATCTTTTTTTCGCTGGACTTATACTTTATCAGAAGCTGAGATTATTGATGGAAATCATGTTTGGCCTTGTTTCTTTCAGTGGAAAAAATGGAGTGATTTCTTCAACCTCGATGGTGCAAGCCCTCAGAAAGTAGAGCCATTGTTTATAAGCAAGGTATGATCTCTAGGTGACAACTTCTCCGAAACAAATTCACATAAAGTTTAACATATTTTGGTATGCTTAACTGGTTGGTTATTTAACACATGGTCATGGACAGGTGAATACAGTTTTCCAATTGGCTCTAGTCGCTGGCGCACTCCTTCAACCTGAATTTGGGAATCCAGATACACAGACATGGATCACTTATCTAAGGTACTAATAGGTTTCTTTTCACGTGTCTCCGCACCGTCTGGATTAGTTTTTGTTTTTTGAAAAAAAAGTCTGAATTAGTTATAAACATATCAGGTGTGTTCTGAAATGTTGTTATTGGTCTCATTTGTTTTGTATCCAGCTGGTTAGTTGCTTCGACAACTATGGCTTCAACTGCAGCATATGGAGCACAGTACATGAAGAAGAAACCTATCTCCATGATTAAGAGATCATAGTAACATCTAATTACTTCACACTCTGGCCGCATACCGGAGAAGCCTGAACGGGTCTAACTGTTTCCCGGAATATGCAGCTTTTATCTGCTAACTTTAAATATAGAAAAAGGAACGAGTGGCTAACAAATGGAATGAGTAGTTAACAGATGGAGCCTGTGAACTACTGAGAGACGATGTCTTGTTTTTTTGTTGTAGAAAAAAAATTGAGGCTTTTGGTTTCTTTTTTTGGTCATCGTAGCATCTGGTAAAAAAGAGATGTCTGAAAGTGGATGTTAATCGAACCTTGGAGAGAAATAAATCGAATCATCGGAGATAATTCTGAAAAAGTTTCGGACATGAACGTAGAGAACAATTGTTAGGTTCTGATATTTTAATACAATGAAGTGATTTAACATCGGAAACATAACTGGAGGTTTGAGTACAACTCGAGTGTGTCAATATGGCATAAGAACTAAAACGAAGCAAATATGTATACACAACACGATGAGAGAAACGAGAAGATACCAAAGGACACCAAATTACATGGAAAACTAACACTAAGAAGGGGTGGTGGGTACACAACTAGCGTGTCATAGTCAATCGGTTTTGTGCTATTATCTTCTTACTTTGCATACATCTGACCAAAAGGTAAGTGTAAGTGATCTCAGGATCAGTCTTGGTGGATTTGATCAAAAGGTGCAGCAGCAAACCTGACGTTTTCTGGGAGTGCCACCACTACTGGTTCATCTGCAAAGAGGGCTTTCAGGAACGCAGGAGTCTTTAAAGGACGACGATTAGTCATTCTCGGATAAACTTCAGACAGAAAGTAGTAAGCATGACCAGCAATCATACCCTGTAATGTTTTTTTAATGCGTTTAAGATAGTGTGGATTATAGAGATCAAAAGAGATTTTGATGATTAAGCATAAATATACCAGAAGATCCACCCATGGACTGGCACCAACAAGGACAGAGAACCCAAGAAGCACCTGCAATGCCGGATTTTGCATAAGATTAGAATTTACACATTCTGATGGAAGTTAAGGAAAAGAGAAGAAGCGAGAAAGCTAAACACACCCATGGTAGGTAGGCTGCTGTGAAGGTGAAGAGACCAAGGAAACTCATGTGAATATGAGGATTTTGTTTGCTCCACACATACACCTGTAAAACAGAGAGAGAATGTTAGCAGCTAATGTTGAGATGAACATAGATTTCTGGAGAAACAAGTGTGATAGAAGTTACCAACCATCATGAAAGTTAATGAGTTGCTGAGGAAGATGATTTTAGCAAATGATGCGGATAAGTAGGGTATCATTCCGCCGATGAGAACAATACCAGTCAGAACAGTTGCTCCAAAGAGAAGCATGTAAAGGAAATCAGCAGTCTTTCCCCTGAATGAGTTTTCTTCAAGGAGTTTGCAGTAACGTGCCAGAAAGAACATATGGAACATGAAGTCCAAATCTGAAAAATAACCCAAAAGATTAATAAAGTTTCAAATAACAAATAATAGTTGACTAATGACTAGGCAACCGAATACACAATCAATCCAAAAAATGCCATTAACAAACACGACCTAAACCTTCCTCAGTGTCGTCTAGCTACAACTGTAACGAAAATTTAACTCAACCCTGATGCTTATGAAGACAACTCAAATTTTCCACAACTGAGAAAAGAAAATCTCACAACATGTAAGTTTATCGACATCAATGACTAATAACGCAAGATGCTAGTACACCTGGTACGACATGAATTCCAAATGAATGCTAAGCACTCTAAAACAGTTCTGAAGCCCTTTTTATATAACAAAGACGCCAAATACAGGAGCTTCTAAACCCCACAAAATTGATACAGTTCCGCTTATAAACGAAAGCTAACTAGACAATTAATTACAAAAAACAACAATCAGTAAAAAAAAAAAAAGCCATGAACAGGTGATGCGAAAATTCAATCCAAACCCTGAAAGAAGAGAACTTTCAGAATATGCAAGTCTATCTAACACCAATGAATCCATGACTATTAAGGTAAGAAGTTAGTACATCAGGCCTTCAGAGACATGAGTTTCATCTCTAAATCATGTCTGAAATTCACAATAACTATAAAGGGAAGAAAAAAAAAAGACCAAAGCTTTTGTTAACACAAAATGTTTGTATCCAATTAATTCCCTGAGTCTAAGAGAACAACTAACCCATCTTGCGGAAATACAAGAAATTGGTAAAGAGACGCCAGTACTGGTGTTGCTTCACCACAAGGGTGGGATTCAAGTAGAGACTATACGGAGATATTATCTGCAAATAACAACACTCCCAATCAGAAACGAAATATCATGAAACCCTAATTTCAAATCAGAAACATACATCGAGAGAGCATCCGACGGTGGTGACAACAGCCGCCGTGAGATAGGAGCGAGTGATGATCGGCATCTGTTTGTACCATTCTTCTACACCCTGCGCCATTTTTATTTCCTTACTCCCTATCGAATCCGATTCGCCGCCGCGAACTAAATTCCAGTCGGAGAATCGTTACCGAAACCCTAGAACCAAACAGAATTTATGGAAGCTCCTTTCTGAGTATCGAAATGAGTTTTTCTTTCAGATTCAAAACTTTTGAAATCAATACTGATGAGTTCTGGGAAGAATAGTACATACCACCCTAGCGGAATAAGCTAATGACGTCAGCGTTTAGTCTAGCGTGCTCGTCGTTCTCCTCTAACTAAAACGGCAACACGTTCGTATGTGGGCAAATTACACGCAATCCAAAGTATCATAAGGGTAACCGCACCGATTGCGGTTGCAAATGCAGTTGCGGGCATTGCGGATGCGGGAGATTCCGATTTTAAGCGTTAGTAAAAAATTAAACGACTGGTTGTTCAACGGTCAAAAATTGTTGCGTTTGCAGAATATTTATACCTAATTTATTATCAAATACATCAGCGGTTAAGTAATAAATTAAGAATATTTATATTTTAAATAAAATCAAAACATTAAAATCATATTTTCCTAACAAATATAAAAAATTTATTGATAAATCTGTACTATTAAATTTTAAAAAAATTAAAGAAAATATTTTTTTGGAAACTTTATAATATAAATATTTTGATATTTCAATAATTTTAATTTAAAATTTTATTTTTATATTTATATAGGTTTTTGGAAAAAAAATTATCCTTCCGTAATCGTTCACAACTGCAAACGCTAGCTGAAACCAACTTTTGAATTTTAGAGATTTAGAGCGATTTGAAACGATTTATAGTGTTTTCTATGATTATTGCAAAACGTCGATAACCGCTATCAATCGTAAAAGCTGTGTTTGCGGTGGTGGTGGAAGAACCAATCAAACCTTAAATATGGACAAAATTAGGAGGTGCTGTCTTGGGTTGGTATTTGGTGGGTAGACCATTATAACATTTTACAAAAAAAAGAAAGAATCAACTTGTTATTTTTTCCTGTTTTTTTTTTATTAGTTAATAACGATAATCATAAACTTTAAAATAATTAAATTCATTTAATAGTTAGTTTAAAGTTATCAAAAATATTACTAAGATATATTTACTGTGAAAATTAAATTTATTTTCAGATAATATGAAAAGCTAAAAAGGGTTCTTAATAAAAAAAATAGAAGGACTAATAACAAACTTTTTGGTAATTTGGTTGCACATTTCATTAAAAAGTTGTTATTTACTTTAGCGCTTTTTCTGCAACCCATTATCAGTCTCAAGCCTACTCAAACCATTATATGTTTATTGTAGAATATCTGCAGAGTCTGCCTTTGAATCACAAGCTCTCATTTGCATTGGCTTCATGACTGACCTCATGAAAATTTAATTTATTTTTGTACGTGAAAAGCTAAAAATTATTAATTAAGAATAGAAGGAAAAATAACAGTTTTGTTGTGAATATTTAGGTGAGATATACTACTCTTTGTGTTGTTGTTTTATACGAAAGAGAAAGAGAGAAAGTTGATTAGATTATTTCATTCGTCTATCTATCTCCTACGACAAGAGCATATGACCCCTATTTATAGTAACACTTAATCGGTTAAGACTAAGATATTTTCCAAAGGAAAATAATAAACAAAGCAATATGGATAATCATTATTATATTTTGATATTATCTAACACTCTCTTAATTATCCATCTTGTATTATCAAGTGTTATTTCGTTAAAAATTAAATCATAGCAAAAATTTAATGGGACAAAAACCATGATAAAGAAAAAGAGAGTATACTAATGTAGTCTCTCCCTCAAAATAATAGACATAATTTTTTCTTCATATGTCACGTAATTATCACATCCCGATACCGTAGACATATTTTCGGAATGTTGTAATTGGAAGGACCTTCATGAATAAGTCAGCTGAATTGTCGCATAACCGTACATATTTTATGTCCACTTCTTTATTTTTCTCGAGTTCCCGTATGTACGAGAGAATTTTTGGAGGGATGTGCTTTGTTTTCTTGCCCTTTATGTGACATTTTTTGAGTTGAGCGACACACGCTGAATTATCTTCAAATATTTTCGTCGGCTCTTTTTTGTTAACTATTCCACTTGGTTCTTGTATGTGTTGGATCATTGAACTCAGCCACAAACATTTTCGACATGCTTCAAAGAAGTCGAAACCAATCTTGTTTCTCAAAACGCTGTATAGTCGTGGTTTCATCAATTATAAAACCATGTTCAATTTGCGTTCGACTTTATAAATTACATGTATCTGTAAAACCATACCAAACTCGAAGTTTCTAGAATAAACCAATCTTAATTCAGTACGTACCTTGGCGAAATGGATATATTATCGATGCTGTTCTAATTTCTTTGAACGAGCATTAGCATCTCCAAAGTACTTATTTCTATAGATCTTACCAAAAATTTTAACATAACATCTCTTTTATCATCGAGAGATCTATCAACCATTAGAGTACTCAAAGTAGTCACTTTGTCCATACGAAAGCATTTCAATATCCTTTTCGTATAGTTTGACTGATGCACAAATATACCTTCTCGGAGATGCTCAATCTTGAGCCCAAGATAAATTTTGTCTTTCCGAGATCTTTCATTTCAAACTCTTCCTTTATATGAGTTTGTGCATCATCAACCTCCTTTTGAGTTCCAATAATGTTTAAGTCATCAACATATACATCAATGATCACAAAGCTAGTTAACTATTTCTTTATAATCCGTATAGTGATCACTGTAATTGACCAAAAAAATTTCCCTGGATTTTTCTTTTAATGTTTCTGGCATTTTCAATCCTTCAGGGAGTTTCATATATATATATATATATATATCATTATCCAACGATCCATACAAATATACAGTCACAATGTCCATAAAATGCATTTCAAGATTCTTTGACGCCGTTAGGCTCATCAAAAATCTAAATATAGCATCCATCATCGGAGAATACGTTTCCTCAAAATCAATTCCCAGTCTCTGGGAAAAATCTTAGGCACCAAATCAGGCTTTATATCGTGTTACTTTTCTCACGAATACCCAATAGGATTTATATTCTCAGACATTATGACCATAGGTCCAAAAACATTCCAGAATGGACCTTGGATCGGGATCATCATTTTCATGATTGATCTCTTTGGACACAAAAAAGAGAACATTCCATCAACATCGTTTATCCTATAATTTTTCATCACAGGTGTAGTTAATGGAAATCTCATACTTTTCTGTTCATTTCTCGTCATCTGGTACCTTTTAATTTATGTCTTGTTTTAGACATTTTCACTATCAGGTCCTTTTGGAACCTTTCCATTTATGTCTTCTTTCACACATTTTTCAGTATCAGGTTCTTGTAGAACCTTTCTTTTTTTGCTCCCCCTCTTTAACTGAACCCTAGGTTCATTCATTTTGTTTCAATCATATTGTTCTTCATGAACAACAACTTTTAATGAAACATTTTCAATGGGTATATATGATTTCGTCACCTTTCTTGTATCTATGAACGCATCAGGTAACTGGTTTACCAAATCATGCAAATGCACAATAATCTGAACTTCCAGCTCTTTTTAATTCGTAGGGGATCAAGGTGTTACAACGACTGTGTACACCATCTAATATCTTTAGGAATTTCTCTAATTCCTCCCCCTAACGCTAGAAATTCTTTCTCATTATATCACCAGTTACTAGTTCAAGATACCTTATATACAACTTGTTCTAACTCTTCTAGAGTTTTATCGTTCCCGAGGACATTATTAATTCTCCAGGACTACTATATATCAAGATGCAACTCAAGTCGTTCATGTCCTGCCAGACATATCAATATACTGCATCTATATTAAATTTTCTCCATTGACCTTGGAACAAGCTGTTTTTCATACCTCAAAGTCATCTTTCATTTCATTCTCTGGAGAAAAGTTTCTCGTTTTTCTAACGAGTTTTATATCAAATTGATTGTCTCATTTATTCTTTGGTTAATCAATTCACTCTACCCTCATATATATAGAGGTAGATTCATGATCTTCATTTATATATAGCTTTTTCATTTATTTATTGTCGACAATTGGTTCCATCTTTTTAATACGTACTGATATGGTTAATCGAGATCTCTTTATCATCATCAATGATTTACTCAGGTACCTGATTACATATTAACCATATCAACGGTCTCATCGTGAGATTCATCCTCTATTCATATATTTGCTCATTTTCGAGGATTCTTTGGAACCAAAGTAGTCTACACATCTCTAGCGCGTTATAGACATATATCGTCTTTTTGGGACACATTTTCTTATTGGATCCTTTTCAGCTGGTATATGAGATTTCATCAAAATGTCTGGCAGTCACTTTATAAATGGATTATCATACATAATTTTCATGTAATCCATTTCTCATTTCTCATTCCATCAGCTTCTTATATGCTTCTAGCAACCTTGCGAGCATATTTAAATATGCTTTATCTCTTTTAGATTGTATATGACTCTATTACATGCATAACTACATTACATCTGATCATGGGGATCATTTTACTTTATCAAGTTTTTTTCCAAGTGTGAATATAATCATCTCAATGTTCCACTCACTTAATTTCTTGGATTCTTTAATTCTCCTCCTCAAGATCATGACATTCCTTCTCAACAATCTCGTATTTAATCTAACTCGAGAACCAATAACATATTCAGTTTTTCCATTTTGAGATGAATTATGTTTCAAATCCTTGGAGTGAGATTCTGATTTGGGGTCTGTTTAAATTAATCACATCTAAGGAACTTTTTTTTCGATGATTCATACTCCCATGATGGTTTTCTTTATTTTCGTTAAGACATGCTATAAGTGCAAAAATTTTGGTTTTTCAAATTTCTCAATAATTTTAGTAACATCATTGCTCTAGATGGTCATATATCAGTAAACTTCAGGTTTATCACCATTTATAATTTTTTCCATCATTTTCTTATGCATGTCATTTCATCATAAGCTTTTCTAGAGCCAATAATAATTTTGACATTAACAGAAATAATATATATTTTAAGAGAGGAGAGATATTTCGTACCTTTAATCTATTACGATGAAGTATTTACAAATATATATCTCAAATATATATCTCCATCCTAGATCTTAAAATCTGGCATCCAGCTCTCACAAAATATGTATTGATAAAATAATAAAATTTATCTTCTTCAGGAAGAT